GGTAAAGCTAAGTGTCGTAGAGTCAAGTGTAGTAAAGTCAAGTGTACTTGACTCCACGTATTCTCTATGTATTTTCTCTGCGAGGCTCCGCACGGAAGAACCCTTCGCGATGCTTTCGGGAACAAGGACAAACAAGAAACTCGAGCAAGAGTTTGAGGAGGCCGATGAAAGCCAGGGCCCGGAGACTCCAGACGCCGCCAATGCAGAAGTGACCAAAGCATCCCCTAAGCCCAAGGCCAAAGCAAAAGCCAAGAACAGCTCAAAGCCTGCCAGCAAGAAAAACGCAGCCCCAGCCAAGCCCAGCAAGGAGACAAACAGCGAGAAGCCCAGCAAGGACTCTGAAAAGAAAGGGACGACCAAGCCCAAGAAGGACTCTGGAAACACACCCTCGGCCAAGCCAACAAAGGACTCTGGAAACACACCCGCGACCAAGCCAACAAAGGACTCTGGAAGCGAGCCCAACGACCCCAAGGACAAGACAGCCAGGTCCAGCAAGGATCCCATGCCCAGGTCCCCTAACAGGTCTTCTAAGAAAGCGGCTGCCAAGCCCCCATCCCCAGAGAAGAAGAAGCCGGACACGAGCAAAGAGAAGGAGCAGGGAGGTAGCACACAAGATGTATATGCGATTCTACAGAAGTATCCACAGCCACTCGGTTTGTTTGTTGTTCCCGCACTGAAGCATGCAATGTGATGTGCCGCCGTGCTGCAGCCTGTACATTATGTAATTGCAAAATCATTCGAGGTCGCACCACCCCCAAGGAGATCAAGTCGGCCTTCGACCGGTCCAAGTACTGCATCATGTTTGCATTTACTCCGTAGATATGCATGCATTGGCACTATATTCTGCTTTCGTTTCATAGATCCGGCTGCATACCAGGCAAAAACAAAATGTCCTCTCTCTACGAAGACTTTTTGCAGACCGAAGGGAATTGGCGAAATTCCATGGTGTACAAGAGCATCAAGAGCACCACAAGAAATGGACGTCGTGGCATCCGTCGCTGGCTCACAAAAAGCCAAATGCTCGTGATTTTCGACTCCGCCGAGATTGTGGACAGCATCATCGCCCGCAAGGAGACGGACGATTTCCTTCGATCTACGGAAGTCAGGGAGCACCCAGACTGCCCAGGAACAGGGGTGTCAGTGACAGTGCAACCCAAATCCTTTTCCCTGTGGCCCTATGCTTCCCCGTGCGAAAACTTTGTGATAGCTCGCAGGCCTCGTGCAGTACCTGGTGCTTGTGGAGGAGGAAGTGACAGACGAGGATGTGGATGAGATTACGGATATGTTCCGGATGGAGGATGCGGGTTCTTCCGAGGACGACGACTCAGACGACGAAAGCGACGACGACGACGACAATGACAAGCCGACTCCGACGTCCAAAGGTGGCAAGGACCGGTAAGTCGTGTGTGAAATTTGGTTTGTGAATGAGTGAGTAGCTGAGGGAGCGGTTGAACGATCGTGCAAGTTTCTACATGATATACATGTATGCCTGCATGTGTGTGTGTGTGTGCATGAGTTAGATACCACGTATGTATTAGTTATTAGTTGCCACTGAACGGATGTATGTTATGCTGAATCATACCTGGATGCCGACGAATTCTAACCCACCCTAAGTCCCCTCTCTGAAACCATGACTTCACTATCTCATCCGACAGTTTGGCGAGGACAACAGCAAGAAGGGCAAGAAGAACAAGAAGGCTGGAAGCAAGCCTTCGAAGAAGAAGAAAACAAAGCGAAGCAAGAAGGGGGGTAAGAACAAAGGCGAGAAGTCACCGGAGGACAAGGAGGCTGAAGCAGAGAAAGAGCGGTTTAAGAAGACAAAGCAGGATGCCAACAAGGCTCGTGTGTAAATCGAAAACAACCCATGTGCTCGCACCCTTTCGTTCATTTGTCCTCCTAGGCGATCGGCCAGCTCAGCAAGATGGTTCGGGACAACAACACAAAGATCGGCGAGTTGGCAGGTTTGTTTGGGGCTAAGTCTCTCGTTATGGCAGTGGCACATAAAATTCTGAAGGAATACTTCGCTCTTCCGATCCTGCCTGTGCCCAGGAGCACGAATATTCAGAACGCCCTCCGGAAGGATCTCAATGATGCCATCAACCGGCTCACGACCTGCAGAGCACACTTGCAGGCTGCTATCGATGGACATGAGGAGCTAAGTTTCCCTTATCTGCTCGGCTGCCGAAGCTTTCTGATTGATCCGATGATGAGGGTTTGTGGTCATGTAGGGCTTAATGGTTTGGGTTTGTTCATGGTCGCGGCTTCAAGCTCTAAAGTCAAAGCCCTGCAACATAAAACTTAGAAGCCTTAATCTCGCACTGACCATTCCTGCTAGCAATTGAAAACCCATCACGCCTGGGCCTAACTAGTTCTAATCTTGTCAGGAGGAGCAGATGGTGTCGATGACACAAGCCGCCAAGGAGCTCATGCAAAAGATGCAGGAGTCAGTGCCTGCATTCAGCAAGAAGAAAAGCTTCTCCAAAAAGGAGAACTAGGAAGCTCGTCCGAAACACAGCACCCGAGTGGATAGCATACAGTCCTGGGGCCAACTGTCAAATGTTACTACCTACCCTATGTAAGCAACATAAGAGTCCTCGGGAAGCCGATGCTGTGTGGAGAAGATGATGCCTTTCCCCGCATTAGGACACCTAATGTAGGTCTTTCGCTCTCGGTGCTCCCAGTTGTGCCGTACTACATAGTATCAACGAATCCTGCCAACAGCCTGCACCCCGTGCAAGGGGACGGGGAAATCCCCGTGCACATAGATGTGTAGGGTAGATGCGACTTGGTGGGCCCCGCTGGAAAACTTTTGATGTGACTGCCCAGCTCGCCTAGCTTTGCCTACAGAGCACATCGTGAATGCAATCCTATCTTTGATATAGTATAAGACCTAGCCTATTCGCTCGCAGGTGCCGTCCCGGCTTCATCAGAGATGGTTTTCGACATGATCGACAATGTTGCCGCTGCAGTTCCTTGCCTTCTCGAAGGGCCAAGTCTCTGTCCGTGAATACGTGCATAAGAGCTCACCGTCGAACCCGAAGCCCAACCTGAACAAACCCATTCGTGGAAGGCAAGCTCCATTGGTCGCGAAATGAGAAGTGCTAAATCCTGTGTCTCCGAAACCCAGCTGCACTAATTTCAACATTTCCTCCTACCTGAGTGGCTTTCGGCCCAACCGTAGCCGAGGACGCAGCTGGTGGTCTGCTGCCCGCCCCGCTTACGAAGATGGGATCCTTCAGTGGCAAGAACAATGCCCGTGACTTTGCACGATCGGTTCGACTCCCCGTGGTGCTTGGTTACGAAACTCCCCGGTCACAACCCTTGCTTTGCTTTGAAATACTTCGACCCGAACTAGCAACCCGCACAATTTGAGCCTGAGCTTGCCCTAAACCACAACAAACACCTTTAGGCCCCGCTTAGGTTCAGGGTTCACGGCACGTTCCGGCTTTGTCTAGGGTTTGTCACCGAAACAAGCTTGGGCTGAATGATCGGGACTTGGGTATCGGGTCGTCTGGCAGGCCCCTGACTATGTGGAAACCGTTCTCAAGAAGAAGTCTGATTCGGAGGAAGAAGAACGTGTGAAGATTCCTGTGCTTATGCCGCACAAAATACTATCTTTTCTTTTCGGGGAGCTGGGGCTGTCCATTGACGCAGATACGGTGTCCAAATATTGGGCCCACTGCAAACGCCACTGTCCCTGGGCTTGCTCTGACGATTTCGATGGCACTCATATCCCTGTATCACTGTACGGGGACACAGCTCGATATGGCCAGGGCTACGATCAGAGCAAAGTGACAGGTTGCTTCATGAGCCTTGTTTTGCGGCGGCCTAAATCTACAAGGATGAGTCAATGGCTGCTATGGAGCCTCGATACTGATCTGAGCTTGGGATGGAAAAGCCACAACCCCCTTTACCTTGCAGTTGTGCAATCTCTAGATGCTGCCTTCGACGGCCTAACCCCGGACAATCGGCCGCTGGGTAGAAAATACGCTGTCACACAGATCAAAGGCGATTGGGAATACCACTATCAAACCTGGAGACTTAAACGATGGTGGAAAACCCGCTGGTGTTGTTGGAGATGTGATGCTGAAAATCACCACCAAGCCCGGCACCCGATCACGGACTTCTCTGATGATCCATCCTGGGCGGCGACAGAGTTGTCTCACAACCAGTTCGTGGTTGAGGGCATCGGCCAGAACCACGTTTGTGCTCTTACCAAAACCTAATCTTCCTGCACTTTCATATACCGGAGATAGGATGATGTAGGCCCAACTAAACATGTCTTTTTACGAAGCTAATATGTAATTCGTCCCAACTCCACATGTGCTGTGATCAAGGTCCCTTCTTGGGACTACGTGGTTTTCATTTTGCAATGATTTGCCACTGCAGCTTGCACAATGTCAACCTGGGAGTGGCACAGGATGCCAATGGTTCGACCCTGTTTTTTGACTTCAATTCAGAAACGTCTGTTCAAGTGTTCCAGGCCATGCTCCCCGAAAACGCTTGTTGCTCCATCAGAGTGCTAAGGATGTTCTTGGTGGAGAATGGATACTTTGGGGACCCGGAGCTTAATTCCTTGCACAAGCTCTTGGTGGTTGCCTTCCGCGATTTCAAGGCATTCCAAAAGGAGAGGGGGATTGCTTGTTCCCAGACGAAGTTTGTGCCAAAGTTTGTTCCCAGGCCTGCATTGAGCAGTGGGTCTCGCATATGAGATGTAAGGTCTAGAGTCTAGATGATTTTGGCCCCCGCATTAGGTTTGGAAGCCTGAGAAGCACGGGGCCCACATGGGTCACAAGGGATACAATGGTCGGGTTATCACAATGTGGCTGGGGGATTGCATGGAAAGGGCTTCATATCACAGCACCACGAACAACCGTGATTTCGGGCAGTGGCTTCATGAACGACATCAGAACGAAGGGACAGCTTGGCCCGATGACAATGATATACGATTTGCCCCCATCTGTGTAGCAATGATCCTTCCAAGGTATTCATCAAAGCTTTGATGGTTTTCTGCTAGGACTAAGCACCCCAACTACCTAAACCCGATGCAAACCTTAACCCCAGTCTTTTTCCGAAGCCTTAAACTGAAACTTTCATCAACCCCACGAGGCAGTCGCTGTGCAAGTGGTTTGATGCTGTAGAACGATTCCCGGTGCACCTGCTGCTCGACTTGGTGTTCGTTTCTTGAGTTGGGACGAGTGGAGAGTTTAGTGGGATAAGGCTTGGGGGATATAAGGCCCATATTTGTGCTGCTACAGGACCACGGCACAAGCAAACGAAATCTACGATCACGGGATGCGATATCTCAGATACCACAACTTGCTGTGCAAGCTCTCTATGAGGCCCGTACAGGATACAAGCTATCAATGATGTAGGGCACACCACTTGCAACATGGGAGGCTTCAGAAGCTCCACTGGCACATCCGTCCCAAAGGGCACGACACTTGCCCGCATTTGGAGATGGTTTACCTAATCCGAATGGTTTGGAAGCCTGACCCTTCCCCGCTGAGGCCTTGCATCATCAACTGAAAGATGTCACGATCAGACGAGACTTAGCTTGAACGCAGATTGCTTTGTCTGGGTGCTCGCAATTTCGTGCTGAGCAAACTTTGCAACTGAAGGTTTGAACACCCGCTTGCACCACACCTTTAGAGAAGAAGATGCCATGCGATGGCTAAAGGGTGCCCTGGGCTGATTTTATAGCATTGCATAAGCCCGAAGCCGAGTACTGATCAGGGATGATGCACCCCGAGGTGTAGCACAGGCATGCGACAAGAAGTCCATGGAGCACTCGATTATGAAGTATGCACGATTTCGGCTGGCATCGATGCGACGTCCTTCAAGGATGAATGCTCTTAACTCGAGTGCATCTGGCAGGCGGTAAAAAGAAGGGGAGGCGCACTCATTGGTGATCTTCTGCATCAGCTGCTGCCGCTGCTGCCGACTTTGGCTGGAGCTTTTTCGGTGCTTGTTTCTCTTTTTTCTGGGGTTTTAGCTATCTTAATCCAATTCACCCCGAACACCTCGGCCCCGAAACCAAAACCCGAAGCATCCTAGACCAGAAGTTTTAGCTTTGATTGTTAAGGTTTAAGACAATCCGACTAACAGTTGAATACGTGGGTTCAGTGTTTCACGTGGTTTACTTGAACGCACCCGTTAAACCAGTGGTTTGGAAGCCTAGGGTATATGTATATATATATATGTGTGTGTGTGTGTGCACATTCATCGTCGCTCAGTTTTGCATGCTCTTGTGGGCTTACCTATCTCTTCGAATAACGTAAATGTACACGTATGTATATACATAGATTTGTGTATGTACAAATATACATACATATGCATACACACAGACATGCTTTGTTCGCATGCGCAGGTGTGTGTGTGTGTGTGTGTGTGTGTTTGTGTTTGTGTGTGTGTGTGTGTGCGTGGCTGTGTGTGTGTGTGTGTGCGCACGCGCGTGTGTGTGTGTGTGTGTGGGTGGGGGGGGTG